AATTGTGAGTAATTCACAGTGGTCAAAGCACAAGGCCCATGGGAGAACTGATGGGAGACGAGACCACGAGGGAAAAATGGGAGCAAATTGTGGTTCTTATTGTTGCTGCTTCTAATGTTCCTGAATTGTGAACTAGAGGTGTCTCGTTCAAGTAAATCCTCAGTAAAACTATCAGTTTACTAAAGGATAAACGGTGGGGCTGTTATTCATCTTTCAAAAAGGAATAATACATTTCTTCAAGTAGTAAGGATTCCTGATACATTTACAACTTTATTTGCTTTGTAAATTTAGAATGACATACAACTTTTTAGGAACATGTGGATTGTAAATAAACTATCTCTTGACTGGTGTGTCACCTCACCTGCATAGTTGGGAAAAGGTGGTCAGAGTTGTTTTCTCTACTGAGGGAAATATATTTGTTTAAGAGGCTGATGAAATAATTAAAATGAAATGTTAATAAGTATTATTTGCTTATGGCCTGAATGCTTGGAAACTCTTTAACCATTGATCAAAAGGATGTAGCCTTTGAACCTATATGCTTTCTTTGGGTTCAGAGTTTGAAGGTAAAAGTGTTTAAATTGTAAATTTTTTGGCATCATTACACTTAAGTCCCATGTATATTCTCCTATGTAAGTTCCAGGTATTCTCTGTATTTTTTCAAACTTCTTTTTTTGAACATGTTTTAGACTCACAGAGACTTTGCAAAATGTTACAGTTTCCATGTATTTCTCACCTAGGTTCCCCTAATGTACACTGTATTACCATAGTGCAGTTATCAAAACTAGGAAACTATGAGTGTTATAATACTACCAACTAAAAACTTTATTCTAATTTCACTATTTTTAAATTAATATTATACTAAATATTAATAGTATTTCCACTAATTACCTTTTTTGGTGCCAGGACCCCAATCAGGAACCACACTGCATTTAGTTATTATCCTTAGCTTTCTGCAGTTTGTGACCATTCCTCAGTCTTTTCTTTCCTTTTTTTTTTTTTTAATGACCTTGTCACTTTAAAGAGTACTGATTGGTTATTTTGTTGAAAGCAGTCTCTCAGTTAGGGTTTGCCATGATTTGACTGAGATTATGCATTTTGGGCAAGTCTACCTCAGATACTATGTTGTGTCCTTTGCAGTGAATCATATCACAGAGTTCTCAGTGTGAATATGTCATCACTGGTGATGTTGACCTTGATCACTTGACCAGGGTGGTTTTTATCCTTTGTACTTTGACCTGGTGGCTAATCATTGTCTGTTGTTTCTGACAAATAACCAGGAAACAGATCACAGGTTGTGGAGCTGGAAGGGAACTTAAAGATCATCTTTTGTAAACTCCTTCTTTTATAGTTAAGCTTCCAGAAGATCTAAGACCTTATCCAGAGGTTACCCAGTAATTTATTGTCATAGCAGGAACCTAGCAGTTCAGTCTCCAGACTGAATATTCTATGCTTCCTAGTTGTGCTCAGGTACACATAATTCAGTCTTAGTTTTCCCATACTAAAAAAGCTAAACTGACTTTATGAATATTCAGCCAACCTTTGATCAAAGCTTATTTCCAGGCTAAAAGAGAAATTACAGCTAGGTATATATCCCACAGTTCCTGGTACCTGCTCACAAGGCTGGTCAAGGCTGGAAATCAGATGAACTTCTGCATCAGCATCTATAAAATGAAAATAATTCTCCTGGAATGCTCGACATAACACATAGGGAACAACAACAGAAAACCTACTTGAGATTTTTAACAGAAAAAGGAGATTTGTTTATTAATAATTCATGAGTTCCCATTGAACATGCACGACAGAAACAGTGCTATTCAATAGAGAATACTGTCATCTGTCACTGTTTTATTTGACATTTACACTTTTTTTTTTTTTTGCCTGATACTGCAAAACTTTCTTGGATGGCATGCAAAAATTATATAAATGAAAAAAATCCCAATGTGGGACTCTTTTATCTCTTCTGTGGTGGGTTCACTCACAATACATACGTGTGTGTGCAGGCAACAGCGTGACCCTTTCTGGCAAATTCATTAGCCACCAAACAAAGTAATAACAGGTCCTTTTGAGAAAACAGAGATAAGCTTCCCACATGAGCGGGTGGAGGGATCATGTGAATCGAAAGATGGAGGGTGAGATGGGAAGTGAGGTGGAAGAATAGATTTCCGGAAGATAAGCACACAAATCCGTAGAGTGAGCAAGTGAGTCAGAGTGAGGGGAAAGCGAATCATGGCTGCCGTGAAGAAAACTGACAAAAATACACTGCCATTTCAGACTCAGGATAAATATTTATAGATGGCATTGCAGGAGCTCCTCTGGTAGGGAATTTCGGCATTTAGTAGATGAGCAAGTGAGGGACTCCTTGTGGTTTTGTGTTACTGTAAGGCTCGTGACAATGTTTCTGCTCTGTAGGTTAGTTATTATTTATAAAAATCACAGAACCAGCTGATACATTCATAAGCTAATTATTGAAGCAGCTGGGCACACACGGTGCAATATGTCCGAGGCTGTGAAGTATCACAGATTTCTTGGGGCCTGCTGTGGTGGGGGTGCGCTGTTGAAGGCTCCATCCCTTAATCTGATCAGCCAAGCAAACACTTTGTGGGGAAACTAGATTAATAACCCTCTAAATACCATGAATGTGCTTCATCTTCAAAACTGGGTTCCCTTAAACATGCTATTAGCTCAGCTCCATCAGGGATTTGAGGAAGTTCTCTGGTGCCCTAAGAACAGGGTCTTGTTGGCTACCTCCCTGTGCCAGAAATTAATTTGGTTTGCTTATGTCTGCACACATGATCACACTTGTGTCTAATCCACTCCCTAATAGCTTCAAGGTCAGGACCTTGCTTGTCAGTGGGCAAATTGAGCACTACACTTCTTAAAGACTGATGGCAGACAGCGGCCAGTCCATAACGAGGCCTGTAGTTTGTTCTAAGTGATTGTAATGAGTGCAGATTATAACAGCGCATATAAATCAAATGCGGCAATGAATGTTGTGCGAGACGTTCCGAGTATGTAAGTGGAGATACCACTCAGCTGTCACCTGTCTCCTCTCAAGCTGTGGCTTCCCACAATGCAGTTCGCTCCTCATGCAGAACAGCAGGTGCTGTCCTCCTCAAGGTCTGCATAGCTCAGAACTTCATCTTTCAACAGATGCAGATTTTTGTTTTTATTTTCTGTTCAACGATTGGTCTCCATGCTGTAGCCTCCCCTGGGAGATGTTAAACATACCTGTTTGAAACATTTGAAAGAGTTCGGTTGGAGACTTATTCAGATCTGTGAAAAGACAGAGAAATAGGAGCTTATTTTTTTTTTTCCACAGATGGTTTATATTCCATTTCAAGAACTTTTTTTGCTTTGTACAAAGAAACCCTTGAGGAAACACTTTGGGACTAGGAGTGTTTTAAAAAATATATAATTTACTTTTTGATAGGGATAAAAAATTGAATCATCTTCAATTTTCATATATGTTACACCTTGAAAATCAACCATTACCTGTCTCTCAACTGTACTGGCCAAAAAAAAAAAAAAAAATCTTTGAAAATACTTGGAAGCACATTTCCAAGCAAATGATTAGATATCTTGTTTTCATTCTTCCTAGCCCTCTAACTCTCCCCAGCTCCCAGTTTATTGCAAGAAAAGATCAGGTCTGCGCAAATGTGGCCTCTCACTTGTAAAAACAAGGCAGTGTTGTGTTACAGATTAGTTTATAAATCCCCAGTGGCTTCACAGTTCAGTGCCTACAGCTGCTGCAGATGGGTCTGGGTTTTTGTCTCTCCGCAGTGCTGCAGCCGGCAGTTGAAGGAGAAAATGGAATGATCAGGTTATTAACATGGAGGCCGCGAGGAAGAGGCAGCACAATGAGAACAGCTGGTGTTGCTGTCTTGGCTGATGCAGCGGAGATAATCAAATCTTGCCTTTTTTTGGGTAAAGGCAGAAGACACAGTGGAGAGTTAGACAAACAACAGCTTATGATATTATGAGGGGTTTTTGTAATGCGTGTCAGGAACTTTCATTGGTGTACAGGTTATGAGATAGAATTTGTGGAGGTTTCGAGATTTCTTACAAAGTCATGTGTGTTTACTTATGCACCTTTTTAGAAAAATTCTTATTCTTGCAGGAGGCGTGATATGGGACAGTCTTTGTATTTAAAATGAGCGACGTAGATTGGAAATGATGGGTTAGAAAGCTACTGGGTAAAATATTTTGACATGAGTCAGTGAGCGATGTTGACAGCATCCTCTGTATTATTTTCATATAATCCATCATTATTTGCATTACATTTTCTTTCTCGTGCAGTTGCGAGCAAGAGAACATCCGGATGCCAGAGTTGGGAGGCAGACATTTGCAGGTGTGACCCGTCCTACTGCTTACCTTCCTGCAGGTGTGGTTGAGGCAGGAAGGTTATGGTTATAAGGGCTTGGAGCCCAAGGCATTCAGAGGTTGAGCAGATATACACTTTTCTCATTCTAGCAAAGGGTGTTACGGAGGAGTTATTGATCTTTGTGAGACTATTTCTTCCCTAGAGAGGACATATTTATATTTCTATTCATACCTCGGTATTTCCTCTTCAGAATTTGCCATTTGGTAATACATATTTGTTCATTTTCATTTTTTTTTTCTTGGAATGGAGTACTGTCCAACTGGGTGGGTAATTTTAAAATTTGTAACTGACCAACATGAATGACTTTTGCTGAGAATTGGAGAGCTACACGCGTCCTTGAGTTTCTTTTACAAAGGGGACTGTAAATTAATTGAGAATGTATTCAGTAGGAAGGGGGATGAGGTAATTAACAAGACTGAAGATTCTCAGGTGTTGGTGTCACCATAGGTGTGGTCATTAGTTGGTTTTCGGAGTTGCCAGGCTGTTTGAGCGCCTCCCCATTTTGGTGGGAGCACTTCTGTTGTGAAAATATGATAAGCCGGCGGTACTTGACCGCACTCAAGCCCCCTCTGTGGCTATGCACTCTTCAGGTTCATTCAGTGGCCTTCTCTGTTTCCAGGGCTGGCTGTGTGAACTGCTCCGCTGGAAGGAGAACCCCAGCCCAGAAAACCGCACTCTCTGGGAGAACCTCTGTACCATCCGCCGTTTCTTGAACCTTCCCCAGCATGAGAGGGATGTGATTTATGAAGAGGAATCAAGGCACCATCACAGCGAGCGCATGCAGCACGTGGTTCAGCTGCCCCCGGAGCCAGTGCAGGTGGGCGTCCCCTTCTCCCCTAAGCCTGGACAGGGCTCCCGGCGCCCGCAGCTGTGGACGGTCAGAGGGGCAGACCGTGTCACCTGCCCTGGGAAGGCGTCTCATGCCATGTCCCCCAAACAGGGAGCCCTGTTCTCACAGTGGGCATAGTGCATGTGTGTGCATGTGCACATGTGTTCTGTCACACACACACACACACACACACACACACCTGTGACTGAGAAGTCAAATCCAAAGGCGGCTACTGTGACTCAGACAGTAAAGGATCTGCCTGCAATACCGGAGACCCAAGCTGGATCCCAGGTTGGGAAGATCCCCTGGAGAATGGCATGGCTACCTATTCCAGTATTCATGCCTGGAGAATTCCATGGACAGAGGAGCCTTGTGGGCTACATGCCATGGGGTCACAAAGAGTTGGACATGACTGATCGACTAACAGTTCACACTTCCTGAGAGTATTTTATTGATACTTGTGGGATTGTGAAGCCAGAGCATTTGTGGAGAATTAAGTCTCCCAATTAGAAATCATAGTTTCCATTAGTGCACTTTCTAAAGAAAAAAAACTCTGAAATAGACAGTGAATTGATCCAAAATTCCTCAAGGAATGTTGCATTAGGGCTGAGAGAAATATCCACATGAGGTAGGGAATACCACTGAACTCAGCTGAACCTAAGAGAGAAGTTGTGATAGATTCTTAGTATTTTTAGGTGAGTTCCTGCTATCTTTGTTTTCCTCTCTTTTAGAAATCTACCTTCATTGGGTTGGCATGGTTGTTTTTTTTTTTTGCTTAGATTTTAGTCTCATTGAGATAAATTATGTCCTTTCTGAGAGTCACAGAGTTTAACTGATGACCCTTGCTATTATCTAAAATCAGTTACTTTGGGGGAGAAATATCAGTGAGGGTTTCTATGGTTTCTCCCCTTCGAGTTGTGCCACAAAATGATTTGGTAGGCTGTGAGATTTGTCCTCCTGCTCAATGCCATCAATCCCAACTGCCATGAAAGAGGATCACCTGAATCTCCTTGTATGTAGCAAGATGGGGACAGTTGAGGCAGGTGTGCATGCACATGTGCACATGTGTGTGAAGAACGGAAGATGAGGGTGAAGGAAGGGTGGGGTGTGGTGTCTTGATCAGATAGTATATGAGAGGTGATGAAGGACGCGGTTCTGAAATGCTCTGCCTAAGTCTTCCTGTCTCCTTTCCCCTTGCTCCACCGTCACGTGCCCGGGGAAGAAGCCAGAAGTCACTGGAGCCATTATGTCACTTGTCATCCAAATATTGACATCTCAGTCAGTGCTCTTGTGCTCTCATTGGTCACTTTCCAGAGTCACAGAGTGAGTTGCCCAGATCATTAGACTCGTGAGTTCACAAAGCTACAAGCACCTGCAGGAACCTCTTCTCATATTCACGGTACATTCAGAGAAGGGTGGTCACAAGGGGTACCTGGTTAATAAGTGGCAGAGCTGGCTCTCGTGGCTCTGGACGAGTGTGTGGGTGACCCATTCCCCAGAGATGAGCCCCAAGTCTTACCTTTCAGGACAAGCCTCCCCCTTCCGTCCACTGTCCTTTCTTGCTGGGGCCTTGTCCAAACACCAGGGCACCTCCCTGGAGATAATCATTTCAGCTTGCTGAGTCACATGACGCAGTGGTTTGTAGATTTTGAGATTCAGTTGAAATTAAAAAGGGGCCCATTATAATTACCAACCTTTTATTTTAGAAAATAAATTTATTCAAAAAATTCAAGGGACACTCCTATTTATTATTCATATATTTACACAACAAATACTCATTAAATAACAAATTAATGAAAAGGATAGCCTCAGGCAAAAGATCTTACAAATGTATACATTTAATCATATGAGAAACTCACCATCACCCTTATTTTTCTCATTTTAATGTGAATTGATCCAAACTTCTGTGTTGAACCTATGACCAGCTTCAGGAAACCACTGACTTTGTGTGGACTTTTCGTTCAGAGTCTATCTTAGTCAATCCAGGCAAGGTAAAAGGCTCCTCTGTCCATGGGGATTCTCCAGGCAAGCACACTGGAGTGGGTTACCATGTTCTCCTTTAGGGGATCTTCCTGAATAGAAGTGAAAAATTGATTTATTATAAACATTAGTAGCACTTCTTTTTTATCATAGGATGATGGCAAATTTGGAAATTTGGAGAAGTTTGGGATAAGAAGAGTAATACCTATTCTCCATTAAAATGAGGACCTCCCTTCATTTGGATCATGGCTCCTGCATATTCCTTTCTTTCTCTACTGTATTTCCTGTATATTCCTGTATTTCTCTACTGTTCCTGTCCAGAAATTCTCATCTCTCGAGGTCCCTGTGTTTAGGTAGCTAGAAGGGATATACAGCATCATATTTTGTATTTTAACTGACCAGTCTGAGTAAAGTAAATCTTAGAAGCAGACAGCCAATCTATTTATGAGTTTTATTACCTTTTATGTTAGTGTATCAGAACTGGAGTGTGCTAACAATATTTAATGGCTAAGAAAGAGTCAGTGTGTAATTTCCCTTCAGTCTTAAGCACTTTGTGGCTATTAACATTAACTTCTGATGTCACTAAGATAATTCACTTATTTTATAAAAAGTTATTCCTATCACTCAGCTCTTAACTAAAGAGTTTACAAATAAGGCAATTTTTTCTACATTGACTTTTTCTCAGCCACTGACCTTGACCTCATAACTGTAGAACTCTTCAGTATATCTGTGTGTGTGTGTGTGAGTGTGATTTCTCTCAGTGGCACTGCTTTCAATGCTGTATTCATGTTCTGTGGCAAAATAGAAAGCATTTGATCAATTTTTTATTATAGTTGTGATAGGAAAAAGGAAGAGAACTTGAACTAGACAACAGAACTCTTGAAACTGGAGAATAAAGTTAGCACAGCTTCTATGACTTTGTATAGATTGTATTCACAAAGATTCCAGACTACTCAAGTTGTCTGTGATTGTCCAAAAGTTAAGCCATTGGACTCAGGGTTGAGATTCACTGGTGCTCTTGTATCAGTTAAAATTTCAGAGAAACATAATTGCTTACACATTTTAGGGATTAAAAAATTTGTACATTGGTAGTATTAGGTGATGTTGCATTTTGTCTAATTAGGCAGAAAATGCACTGTTATTAAACTGTTAAGTATGAGTGAAATCAGGGATTTTTAAGAGTCTCTGATTATGCAGCATATTAAAATGCACACAGAAATCCACTCTACTTGTGGTTATGGAAGAGTGCCATATAAATTTCTTTAAGTAGTTAGGGTACACTATTCCCCAGTTTTTCTTAAATTATAAAGATATGAAGTAGTGACCTTTGTACATAATTACCCACAGAGGAGTCTGTCGAATTAGGGCTCCACAGATGTATTGGATAAAAGAAGAAGCTTGGAATAAGCCCCACCCCATTCAGTGAATTCTGTGAAGTCTCTTAGAGTGAGAGCCTCTTTCCTCCCGGAAAGGGAGGACATTTTTCTTGCCTTTTGTTTGCAAATAGTTTACTAATTGGTAGTCTTATATTGCATGCAGATGTGTTTCTTTTTTTAAGCGCATGAAAGATTTTTAAAAATTCAAGACTACATTTAGAAATTAAGAAATTTCACTTAGAAATCCAGATTTCACAATCCAGAAATTCAGGAGATCTGACCCACTGGGCCACATGGCTGGCTGGTGGTCTGCATTCTGAGCACGCAGGATAGCAGTCTCTATCCTTCTGCACAGCCCCGCTGCCCACACGCTGTCTTCCATGCACACACATCCAGTTCACTTTGTTCATTTAGACTGCTCCTGTCCCATCAGCAGCTGGGTGAGGCCAGCTTGCCCTAAGAGCCCTAAAGGCACGCGTGCCTTGCCCTGCGGTTCTTCCATGCTGCGCCATTTATTTTTCTAATTCTAACACCTCAGAGTCCTTGAAATGCATATTTGATGGAATTTCCCTTCAGGGATGAACCTAGGTTATAGTTGGGCTTGGGGCCATTGAGGGGTATGGTCAGCCCCAGAGACTTGGGGGTCCTGGGAGAACAAGATTTTTTTCCTTGGGAATTCAAATCTCTCCAGGTGATATAGATTTGATGTCATATGAAGTTATCTGATTTCTCCAGTTTTCTTGTTGGTATTCTTTTTTGAAACCCCCATTTAAGTTCCTGCTGTCTAGAAGGTGACCTTCCAGTCTCTGAATACACTTTATAAACTAGATTCACCTACACTTATGGCCCTTCAGTGGAGGCAGTATTGCCCTAGGGAGTAAAAATTGATTCTTGGGGTGCATAAAAATCTTCAGTTTACAATTGTTTATTGCTCTCCAAACAGACATAGTACATAAAGAGATGTTCTGTATGCCTGGTATTAAAATTTCATGACACGGTGGGGAGATGATTAGGAAAAAATGCCTAAAATTCTCCTGTGGGGAATAATAATGAAAAACGTTGCAAAATGCTAACATACAAAATGCTTATAGTTCATGTATGGATAGCACAAAGACCAACATAGATGAAATGAGATGGCATGACCAATGAAAACGCTCCATGAAAAAGATAAATTCCATTTTTTTTCACACCAAAAGATTGGAGACAAAATTGTTTCTTGTGGTTGTAGTGATATTCCCCCTAGTGGTTATTACAACCCGAGGCCCTATAGTGAATGGATATCCTCACCTTAGAATCAAAAACTAGTTAGGCCAGGGTATTCATTATTACCAACTGTATTTTACAACTGGAAAAACTGGAGCAAAGACGGAGGGCCTTGCCTGCAGCCAGAATCGTCAGCTGAATGAAAACACAGGCGCTTTTGGCATCCAGTCTTCCCTCTGGCCGCACTTCTCCCTTGATGCAGCAGAGAAGGAAGGACATTGCTCATGCTCTGACTAGGTCACTGAGTGGGGCTGATTGGAGAGCATTTGCCAAATTGTTCGTGTCTGTGTAGTTTGTGCTTTATTGTTTTATTATATTTCCACCACAGTGTTTCCAGGGGTTATTTTGTAAGTTCAGGAATCCTGAGTT